TCTTTGCTTTCTCCACTAATGGGAAGAGCAACAGCTGTTACTGTTATTACTTAATAGCTACAGGAAGCCAGTAAGTGCTCAAATCCAGTTTTAATCATGTTAGTTCTTCACACTTTACTCATTCATGGGAAAAAAAGGATCACAAAGAAATGGTTTCTACAATATTACATAATGTATGTGTAGGGAAATGATACTGCTTCATGTAAATTTAAGTTCATAATAGATTATAAGTGTTTCATCTGGAGCTTCTTTCAAAAAATTGTATGTAGAGGGCTTTATTTTCTCATTTACCACCAACTATACAGAACTGATTTGTTTTTATTTTTTTGCACATTGGAAAACATATCCTGCCCAATTCATCTTCCAAGTTTGTACAATAATATTGAAATTAAGATCTAGCAATATAGGAAAGGGGAGTTTGATTCCATCCAGGCCTGAAAATTTCTTATTCCTCATCTCTCTTTTAGATGATGTCATTTCCATGCAATAATATAGGTCAGAGCCATAAAATCTATTGTTAACACAAATAAAGAGTGCAAGTATTAACTGAAGTTTTACAACAGGTGTTTGAGGCACTGGAGCATAAGGAAATTCATTTGTCCATGTTCCTTGACTACAGCTTCTCTAACATAGAAACAGCTCTGAGAGCAGAACCTAGGAATAATCTGGCTTAATTGTTTTTATCTTATTTATATTTTATTTAAATATTTCTATTATTAAAGTTGGTAGATGAATATAATATATCTAAGTATATACAGAAATTGTCATGTTTATACAGTAGGCGCCCAGTATATCACTGATTAGAATTTAGAGATTAACCATATTGTTTATTAGTTGATTAGAAATTAATCTTACAAAATTAACGTATATTAAATACAATATTTTAACAATATAGAATTTAAATCTGACTTTCCAAAATAAGTGCCAAATATCCGCTATTTGTTAAGAACATAACAAAGAAAAACTAAAACATTGTGAGATAAATATTAGTTTCCAATAATCTCTTTGTCATACTGATTGTTGTTCAATATTTATAGATGTTAAAAAAACATGTATCTCTGATTTCAAAACTTTTACTCTAGATTATTTGCCTTGCTGTGTAATATGTACTGGTATGGAAGTCATTCTTAAATTTTGTTAGCCTTTAGTTGTGATTATATGCTGCTAATTTTGCCATTGCTGCATATTCTCCAAGTTTAATCTCCCAGTCTGATATCTTCAATAGTATATTTCTTTTCAGATTTCCAGGGAAGAAATGGCAAATTGAAGACAACTCCATAAAAATCAGAGCCAATGACCATGGCAGAATGAAGAGCTGGTAAGTGGACTGGGCCTTCATAATTCCTTTTTGGGCAAGGAGATGACATGAAATCACCCACAAGTGCTCCAGACAGTTGCTCCCTGTGAACAGAATGCAAAACAGCAGTCTCGGATGGGCTTAGAGTTCTGGGAGACAAAGGAATACCCATCTTGCTCAACCCATGGTTGGCACCTTTAAGGAAACCGGCTTCACAGAAGTTTTAAATAAAAGTTTAAGGACTTATTTTTATGGAATATACAGCAAAAGCATAATTTAAACCTTGATTTTAGAAAGTTACAAATGGTCTAAGGGTCCAGATGATTTTGAAATAAGATTTTGGAATTAATTTTAAAGAATCCTTTTCACTGGAAAATTTTTGCTTTAAATGCATTAAAAAAACACAAGACTTTAAATATTGGACACTAGAGGGAACTAGAAGTAACTAAAGATGACAATTTAAGGAAAAGAAGACTCAAATCTGACTAATGAAACAAAATATTTCAACATTGGACATACAGTATTGAACAATGGACCCAGAAATTAATTTTAAGTGTCTGCCATTATAAATATACTGTGATTAAAAGATGCTATAAGAGAACAAATATTACCTGCCCTGATTGAGATTGAGTTGAAAGTGGATTTAAAAATAACTGACTAATGAATGACATGGAAAAAGATATTACACTGGACATAAAAAAGAAACTGGTTGAGGTCTTCATAATTAAAAGGAATATACAAAGAGACTGATCTGGAAAAAGTGGAATTAAGTTCTGTGACAGTATTTGAAGGAACTGAAAAGCAAGATTGTCTAGAAGTGAAGGGAAGGAATATAAAGTTAGATTATTTGATTAAGATTAAAATAGATATGTTATCTATGGTAACCCTTAATGGACTTTTGCTAATATCAGGAATGAAATGTTTTATGCATTTGTTTATATGTAAGAGATGGGATATAGGAAAAAAGACCATTTGCTGTATTTTAAGAAAAGATGATAAAGTATTAAAATTGTTTATATTTGTGATGAAAGGGAACATTTTTTCATATTTTTTACTATATTATTTTTTTATTTATTTTTTGACCCATTAACTATGATTTCCAATCCACATAGAAATGGACAGTGGCAACTAAAATATCATCCTTGACTTCTCTCTAGATCTTCTACTCAACATGGGATAGGATCAGGCCAAAGCACTTATTAAACAGCATGTAGCAGATACAGAGCACCAATTGGATATAGCTAAGATTCCAAACTTTATTAATAGTGAATCCAACAGGTATGCTGCCTTCTCTATGGCGTAACTAACCTTGATATACCTAAGCAGAGAAAGACCGTTACTCTGGCACAATGTCATGCCCTCCCTTCAGTTGTCATTGAAAGTCTATCCAAGAAAATTCCTTACGCAGAGGCAATGCCTCTATGGCTTTGGACACATAGAAACAAGAGAACACGTGCTTCTCTAGTTTTTGTATTAGAGACTTTCATATAGCCTTAGGTTACCATCACAGGTAGTCTTCGACTTACAAGTCATTTAGTGACTGTTCAAAGTTACAACAGACCGACCCCCCCCCCAAAAAAGCTCATGACCTGATTTCAAAGTTATGACTGCTGCAGCACCCTTGCATTCACCCTTACAACTGACCACTGGGGGACTGTAGCATCTCCCCACCCCACCCTGCTGGGTCCCTTCAGCCACTCATCCACCCAAGGAAAATCAAGCAGGTTGAAGCATGTATGAATTGGCTGGAACCGTCAAGCCTCCAGCTTCCTTCCTACCCAGCTATCACACTGGCGAGATCTCCCCTTGGTCATTGGAGGCTTGCAAGCCCCAGCCAGCTGATTTCCCCTAGGTTGCTGGATGGGAAGGAAGCTAAAGGACTCCAACAGGCAAGAAGTAGAGCACAGGATGCCTCAGGAGGTGAGCCTGGGCCTGTGTTAAGCCTCCTAGGGCCTCCCCCATCCCTTAGGCCAGGGATAGGCAACCTTGGCTCTTTTGAGTTGTGGACTTCAACTCCCAGAATTCCTGAGCCAACCATGCTGGCTCAGAAATTCTGGGAGTTGAAGTCCACGGGTCATAAAAGAGCCAAGGTTGCCTACCCCTGCCTTAGGCTGTCTTGCTTAACAGCCATCACCACTTGCAACTGTAATGAGCCTGCTTCATTATGGTTGTAACCTGAGGAGTATTTGTACTGTGTTCAAACGCAGGACAATTTTACATCACTGTTGCTATCAGATACCAACCTTCCACTATAAACATTGCCAGGTTCTATGTAGCAGTGTTCCAAATTCATTGGATAACCCGTACTATAAACTAGATTTAATGAGCACCTAGTTCATCATATTAGAGTGCTTTGTAATTTGATATAATCTTGCACATACTAATTCCTTATGTTCTTCTATACCCATCTGAGGCTCCTGACCCCTTTTAGATTTAATTTTTAAATTTATGTATTTTTTATATCTTCTTGCTTCTCATAATACTTTTTTAGAGAGTTACATTTTCATTCTTGATGTATCTTTTATGCTTTTTTAATGACTGTATCCCATCTTCCTTATGCTGGTCTATGACCATAATCAAGATTTGGTTTGATGTTACATCCATTTTTAATTGAGAAAAATATCCTTTTGGTCAGGAATCAGATGTACAGTCAGATGTACAGTCTGATACAGTTATAACATAAAAACAACACACCGGGGCAGCATATCTAATGTTAAGCTTATATTTATCAAATATGGTGTTGTGCTTTTCTATTTATATTACAGTGTAAATGAGAATTATTACACTTCTTAAGCTATGCATGTATTGTACAGAAATTTACAAAAGATCTTAAATCTTAAAGTAATTGTAAAGTGCATCCTAAATACATGTAATTGTATGGTTAACTCCATTACACTCACTTATTTTTAAGTGTTCCAAATTCAAAATCACAAATGTTTGAAGGAAGGACAACATATCAGTGCTTCTCAACCTTGGCAACTTTAAGATGGGTGGACTTCAACTCCTAGAATTCCCAGCCAGCACAATTGGATGTGCTGGCTAGTGAATTGAAGTCCATCCATCTTAAAGTTGCCAAGGTTGAGAAACACTGGTCTAATCAATGGTTAGTAATAATGAAAATTTTAAAAAAAATCTCAATTGTAGTTAGTCTTGAAATGACAATTAGAATATTAAGATTTAAGAAAATAAGAAAAATGGAATTATAAGAGCTTCACCAAGTTGTTGAATGTTATATTAAATATGATAACTATGTCCTAGAATGTGAAAATAGTCAATAAGATTTAGGAAGCCCCTAAGCCTGTTGAGGAGACAAAATAAATTGTGCTTAACAATATAAAAAAGTTGCCAAGATTCTGAATAAAAAAATAACTTCTCACAAATTGTGGTGCTTACTTCTTTCTTTCACATTAAGTTCTGGATTTTCTTTCCATTGCATTTTTATTGTACCTTCCATACCTTCCCTACTTTAATATGTTTGTTAATTAAAAGTCAGCAATTCACCATCTCTTTTTAAAAAAATTGGGAATGTTACCTTGCCTATCTAGTCACTGAAAACTCAGAAGACCATCCTTCCCACTTTGGCAGTCAAAAAGGTTTAAGTGCAGCTATTCTCCAGTTTGTAACTATTATCATTTGAGTACCATATGCTGTTTTAAAATAGCTTTAAAGATTAAACAAATCACACTATTTTCCATTTTTATTTCTTTTCAAAATACAAACAACACTGAAACAGGAAAATGTTCTATTTTGTTTTAACATTAAAAGAAAAAACAACCTTTCCATACAGATTATATAACTTTACAATGGAAGGAAGAAACAAAACAATTATTAAGAAAAGTTAATATGAAATATTCCATCTTCAGAAAGGCTCACATTCTCCTCTTCTGTGTACTTATGTATAAAACTGTTTAAAGGGAGAAAAATTATAATACATTAAACAAACTCATGATAGATGAACAATAATTACTGTAACTACAGTTCACAAATCATTTACTACTACTGAGCAGGAATATAAAAATAATTTTTGAAAGAGGGAGGGAGGTAGGAGAGAGAGAGAGAGAGAGAGAGAGAGAGGGAGGGAGGGAGGGAGGCCCTAATGTTGTCTTTTTTCAGAAAAATACTGAAGTTGTGCCATGGCATTAATGGGATAATGGTTTACTCCAGGCTTAGACTGCCTATCATTTTGTTTTTGTTTTTCAAAGAACTTTAATGTTTTTAATTACTGCCATTAAACACTGCTGGTTCTATTAAGCTTATTTTATTCAAGACTTTAAATAGGGAGTTTCTTGTAAACATCTCAGGTCTCCTTTGGAAAGAGTGATTACAGCATAACATAACAGGCAGAATTGAAAAATTCCTTTGTTTTTATGGAAAATGTTTTGCACTACTGAAAGAATCCATAACGTACAGTTCCAGGATTGCATATGATTTGGCCCATGTAAGTCCCTGTGTGTGATTTGGCAGCACCAGGCTAAAGATGGGGAAGGGAGTTATGAAATATAGAAGTTCTTATTTTTATCAAATTTATATATTTACTGTTCTGGTTTTTAAACAAAATGACCTAACATGCTCATCAAGCCTCTTTCTGTCATATGTATAAAGTAATTAGATATTTCACTTTATTTATTACATTTTTATGCTGCCCATCTCCCCTCTAAGATGACTCTGGGCAGCTTACAAGTTATAAAACAAGTAGAAAAATAAGTAAAATATTAAAACTACATAGATTAATATTTTAAAACTATACTGAAACCAGAGAGCAGGGTGGAATGGGGATGAAGTCTTCTCACCCTGTCAGCCACCTCCAGCTGTGAATGTCCTGCTCAGGCTAACCAGAAAAGCCTTCCACAAAGCCAAAAGGGTGGAAGCAGTTCTCACCTCTGGTGATAGGGTATCTCACAGGGATGGGGCCATAGCGGAAAAGCTCTTCTCCTTGGACCCGCCTGCTGGAATTCATAGCAGACAGGATCCATAACAGGCTTCTTCCGCTGGTGTGAGGGGGCAGGCTAGTCCCACTGGGGAAAAACGGCTACTCAGATAGCCTGAACCCATGCCATGTAAGGCTTTAACAACCAACACCTTGAATTGGATCCAGAAGGAAACTTGTGCAGTAGCGATGTTATATGTGCAGCCCTAGGTGCTCCCAGGATTGTGTGTGCAGCTGCATTCTGAACTAGCTGCAGTTTCTGAATACTTTTCAAGGGTAGACCCATGTAGAGTGTGTTGCAGTAATCCAGCTGAGAGATGACTAGGGCATGAGTGACCATGAACAGGGCCTTGTGATCCATATAAGAACACAACTGGTGCACAACACAAAGTTGCACAAAGGCTTTCCTAGCATGACTGCTACCTGCTCTTTGAGGAATCATGAGTTCAGAAGGACCCATGTTGGGCAATGACTTCATCTGGGGTAGTGCAACCCCATCCAGAATTAATGATAAATTACTGGATCCTAATGTCCCTTGCACCCACAGCCAATGCATCTTACCTGGCTTCACCCGTTGTCTCCCATCCAGTATTAAAATGTTCCCACTGACACCTTTCTTAAGTTTTTCCTATCACAATATCTTTAAACTAACTGAAATTGAACTCACAAGAAATTCCAATTTTCCTATCAACTTTCATTTCTCCAAATCCAGAAAAAATAATGAAAATTTCATGAATCTTCTTGTAATTGTAATATACAATATTGTAATATACAATATTGGAATTACAAAAGGAAACAAAGTTTTAAAAAGCAAACAGGAAAAGTTGTAAGGGAAATATAAACACTTTTTAAAAACAAATAACACTCTTGCATTAATACATTATTCATTCCTAGAAATTTTTTTTATTTCAAAGACTGCAAGATGAGAAAAGTTAGGTTTTAAATGATAAAACCAATAAAGTTTTAATTAAAAGGTAGTATTTTATAATAAGCATATCTACCATTATTTCCTCTGATGAAAGCATCTCCATATTTATTTTTCAATTGTCCATTTACATACTCTTCTGTCTGTTCCAGAGCAATATTCATGTAGCCATCCAAGCAGGCTAGTACACCTAGAATTAGAGTCATTCACATATTATAACGTAATCTTCCAAGCCTAGTACTGTTCTAAAATTTAAACACAAAGATATCATTATGCAATGTACAGCTAGTGAGAATGAAAGTTAGTTATGACATAACAGCCACCCTACTTTTATCTATCTAATACAATGCAATAGTCTGCCAAAGAAATTAAAGATACAAAATGAGAAAAGGGAGCCTACCTACAAATAATTAACACCACATCTTTTTATCTTTACAAACTATCCTTCACATTACATCCTCAAATTAATTTATATACTCCCTTTTGTTCTTTAAATTTACCACTTTTTTTTGAGACTCTCACCAATTCTAATTAAACATTACTTCCTTGGTTATGAGCCATTTAATCTTTTTTAATATACTGTATCTGTTTTGCAATTCTATCCTCATGTATTTTTCTATATGACCAAACCACCTCAAAATAGTTCTTTCATGCTACTCATTTTGGTATTCTATCCAAATTCAGCACTCTATTTCTTGACCCTATCTAGTTTTATTTTACATCATTCACTTTTTAAATAACCCATTCCCACTGCATTCAAATTATTTTAGCTTTCTCTTGACATACACAGCTGTTGCTTTCCTTATCAACCAAGCAGGCATAGCCATTTGTTTTCTGACATTCATCAAGATTTTGATCAAAATATATGAGAAATAACATCACTTTCTCAGGCACACTTAACAAACTAATCCTCTACAAATTTTATTTCATTCTTAATTTATACTTGGAAACCATCTTTTGACAAATTAAATATACAGGTACAGGTAGTCCTCGACTTAGAATCACAAGACCAACATTTCTATTTTAAGTTAGGGTGGTTACAAGTCAAGATAAAGAAGATCATAATACAGATATATAAAACGATTCACATGGAGAATTTTTTCTTCTTCAATCACAATGTCACAACTCCTATAAAGCTAGAATTCAATTTTGATTAAGAATTTTTCAACAACAGGCTATTTAAGGATGATCTGTATCTATTTCATTTTTGAAAAAGTACATAAATCTATCATAATTGGAAGATGAAGTAGGAAGAATATACCTCGGTAATCAACTCCAGAATTTAATTTCACAACAACTGGTCTTCCTATGATTTGCTTCAAGAAATCACTTGGAGTTTGTTTCCGTAGACTCATTTTGCTATTTTTCAAGTGCTCTATGGAAAAGCAGAAATAGGAATCTAATATTTGTCAAAAACATAGCTAACTTTAAGAAACTCAAATACTTATTACTTCAACATTACAGTACCAGTCACCACACAAAAGCACTATATTCAATTATATCTTCTAATATGCAGTACTCTACATGTTGTCCACATTTCTGTTAACTATACAACTAAATCTGCAGCTGAGAACATTCGAAATTGTCAGACATAATTGTGTTCTATATGCATTTTTTATACAGAATCATTTGGTAATCAATAAATTAAGCACAGTAAAAAAAACACCTCTAAACCTTAATATTTACATTTGGTCTTGGTAGGTTTCCTAAAATATCATTAAAAGTGAACCCTTAAATAAATCCAAAATATATGTGGCCAATTCCAGTCCCATATATTTAAGACTAAGACAAATTAAAATCACTTGACTTATATTTGACTAAGTTTGTATAGGAATGCAGTGCCCTTTTTAATTCTAACGTCTGTGTTTAGCCAGGGGGCTAGTAAAAACAATATTTATTCTAAACATGTAAGGCAGAAGTAGGCAACCTCTTTATATTTAGAACCTATACTTTTTTAACCTTTAAAGGCCATAAGAGGCATAGCACTGATATTGGTTGAAATAATTAATACACTACTGCTATGTCTCTTGTGTCTTAAAGGACATTTTTAACACAGCAGTTAAGTATGATAGAGATCTTAAAGTATCTCTTTTCTTCTTTATTTTAACAAAACTGCAGAATCATGCAGTCAAAAAACTCTTCATTTTGCCATCAAATTATGATGGTGAAATTTCATAAAGTTCTATGTGGCTTCAAAAAATAAGTGATGGGGTCAAAAAAAAAAAGGCTACCATCCACAATGTACACAGTTAAAGCTACAATATACTAGAAATGTACTTGAATTCCTAGAGTCCCACATTCTAATATTCCAGTTTATCATTTTCCTCCATATTCTTTGCCTTAGATTTTCCTACATTTTCTACTTTTGATTCCAGATCATACAAACTCATCACTACTATGTCAGCTTCAATTAACACTTTTTTTCAGCATTTTGCAGCTTCTTCAGCATTTTGCAGCATTTTGCAGCAATTATTATACTGGGGGGGGGGGGTTGGCGTCAGGCAAGAGTATTAAGATGCAAATATCTCTGAAGACCAACAGAAAAATAGCAACAAAAATCTGTTTACTGGGCAGCAGAAGCACTACCTGTAAGAACTTTAGCAGCGCGACAGACTCGCTTCCGACACGCTAATAAGTGGGGGAAACCGCTACTTCTGCAGCCGGATCTGCGGAAATCCTAACAGCGACCCAATTCTGCGCGCCGTGAGGTTGCACCGTCCTCAAAGGCGACTCAAACGCGCACCGCGGGAATAGTGCTGCAGCCTATCCCGTCCGTTCCAGGCGCCTGGCCGGCGTGCCCGAAAAAGGTGGCGGCGGGAAAGGAAAGGAAGCAGGAGGAGCGGAGAAGAAAGCTGAAGCTCAGCGCCTGTGATGAAGGGCCGCCACCGCCATTCAAAAACTTCCGCAAAAGACGCAGCAGCAGCAGCAGCAACAGCGGAGGCGGAGGCGACCGAACGCTCCTAAACCGCCCCGCCTTCTACTACAGCCCTCGGTTCGTGCCCTTCCCGCCCGCCTTCACTCACCCGCCTTTCTTCCACTTCCTTAATCAACTCAGGCAGTTCCCCGAACGAAGGATGATGGGCTGCTCAACGGACCAATCAAGGCTTCCCAGCTGTGCGCTGCAGCTATGGTGGCCAAACTCGGCCAAAATTCCTCCCACCTCTGTGTCCTAATAGGTTTGAGGCAGGCGTCGGGGTTAGCGCAATTTATAGGGGCTTCCTTCCCAATAAGTATACGCGTACGAGATCGGTCCAGATTATTCTCTTACAAAATGCAATAAATTAAAATCACAGTCTTTTTATTTAATGCAATGGATTAATCAGCAGTGTTGGATACCTACGAACCCACCACATTTGACATTTATCAGGAAGCAGTTATATTTTGTGTTATGATTTTCTTAGGTAATTGAATAAGGGCAGCCATGTGAGATAAAAGAAAAACTAGTACAATCTACTTTAACTATATATCAAAAGGAGGAGATATGAGTAAACATATCTTAATTTCCGATTATTTGCATATGATTTGTTTTCTCTTACATAAGCTGTTTGTTTTCATGCATCATCTGAATATCCTTCTTGTTTAATATACAACTTCCGCTTTTTAAAAAAATAGTTCCTTTGACAAACAAAGCAGAAAGTCCACTCCAAGTGTTGGTATGTTTGTAAAGCATGCTTCCTAGAATAATGGTGTCAAGGATACACAAAAAAGACAAGCAGAGAAAACAGAAGCATACCTTAGGTATGGTTTAAATTATTTTTTCTCAAAAAAAAATTATCTTCAGATTGAAGACACAAGTTGCCAGAAAGGTCCCTTGCATAAGCTGTGTTGAAATGCTTTTTATCATTTATATCCACATCAGAGGAACATAAAGCCATTGGGGCAAGCAACTTCTGGTGACCTAGTTCAGTCCTTCCAGTCCTGTACAGCGACATAATAGCCATGTAAGTCTGCATGAGATCCCCAGTGCAGTATAAAGTCTTTGGCATCCACTGTTTCCTATATTTAGGCATTATATCTCCTATGAAAATGTGTCCCCAGAACTGTCAGTTCGTCTAGAAGAAACATTACAGTTATTAATAACTTTATATAATAGGAACTTATATTTGTATGAGAGCCTTGCCCATTATATGAGTGACATAGGAAACAACTGAAATTTTGTGGGATGCCTTTCTATCAATTAAGTTTTGAAAATTCTAATGAATGAAAATGCCAGAAGTGAGTTCAACCTTCCTTATAAGGACAAATATTACAGGTGTGTAACATACATATATAATTATAATAATTTAAAATATAAATGGCATATCTGGAGGAAGTCCTATATTTAAAATATATATCTGAAAGGTGAAGATTGCAGATTTTTTGCATATACAGATTTCTTTTGAAAACTGCTCATTTACCTATATCAGGCAATATAAAATTTTTGACATAATCTCTCTTAATACTGAATATACTTTATTATCAAAGGTTAATATGAATTTTAGAAACCACCTGGGTTACATGTCAGATTCTAATACGAAGTTTGATGCATATAAGAAAAAGCCTTTACAACAGGAAGCATTCAGAGAAAAGGCTAAGTAACATTACACTGTTATACTTATACGGACTGATTGTATGTAATCTGCATTCATTCATTCTTTTATCTGGAAACACTATTCAGCATTATTTAAGATAGTGCCTTTTATGCTAATATTTGTAAATAACAGAGATCTTTCATGTTTTGCTGGGATTGAATATTCAACAATGGAAAAAGCACAGTAGCACTATGTTTTGAACTGTATTTTTTTACTCAGCAAGCTTCCTCCAAACAATTATATCAGATCAACTTGATTGAAATCTAAGAGCGGCTTCAATCAATGAAGTATAAGCAAATGCAAAAGAATGCATATTGGGGCAAATATTTCTGAGTTGATGTACAGTATACATTACTGTAATCTGAATTCATTGTGCTTGACCAGAAATTTAAAGTTGTATATATTAAAAAGTTGGGCCTTAAAAAAAAGGTATCACTGTTGTGCAAACAGAAAATACTATATTAGGAATTATGGCTAAAACTGCAATGGCCATGTGAAGCGAAACTATTACATATAGCATTGGTCAGTGTACAGTCTCTCATAGAGAGACTGTTAAGCTGGCTAAAATACATAGTTACAGATAAATTGATCAATAGTTTGGAGTATCCCATGAGGAAAGGTACAATTTAGAAACCTGTATAGCTTATTTTAAAAAAATGAAAAGGAAAAAAGAGTAAAATTATATATGGTTTGAAGAAAGTTGGCATAAAGATACTAAAATCAAATTCGAGCAAATGAGATAACATGAAATGCTTCTTATCATATATTGATGGCTGTCTGAATAGTTATAATCTCATGTCCTACTGTGGGCTTGTCATGACTGCTTTCTATGAGAACAGAGTGGTGCACTAAATGGGTCAGGGCCAGAGGCAGATAAACCATTTGGGTTAGTGCAGGGCTTTTCAACCAGTGGTACGGGTACCACCTGTGGTACGTTGGCACCTGGCAGGTGGTATGCGACCATCCTAGAAAAGTGGTAGTGGGGGAGGGGAATGAGCTGAACCAGTGGCAGCACCGCACAAGCCTGAGCGAGAGATGGCTGGAGCTGCAGGGCTATCAGGGCTCAGCGGAAGCGCCAGGATCAGCGCCAGGCTCCAGTTGGAGTTCGGCGCTGATCCTGGCACCTCTGCTGAGCCCAGAAGAAGCGCCGATCAGCTGGAAAGCAGCAATGATCCTGGGCGCTTCTGCTGAGCCCAAAAGAAGTGCTGATCAGCTGGAATGTTGCAGCATCTCCAGGATCTTGTGATTTACATTCAGATACTTGGCAACTGATTCATATTTATGACGGTCACAGTGTCCCAGGGTCATGTGAAGTGACCAAAACCTGCTGCAACCACCCAGCAGATGGGGGGAATAAAAACCAAACACCCCCCCCACCTCACCCCTGCTGCCAATCGTCAACAGAAATGCTCACAAGAATGAAAACCTCGGACAGGAGGAAGAGTGCGGCCGGGCGGGCAGGTAGGTGTCTTGTTCGGCTGTGGCTTGGGGGGCACTTTTTTCGGTGCCATTGTAACTTCGAACAGCCACTAAGCGAACTGTTGTAAGTCGAGGACTACCTGTACTTTATCACTTTCCCCCCCCCCCTTTTTTTGGTCAAGTTTTTGACACCTTGCTAGACGACTGGTGGTACTCGGATACTGCCATATTCTAAAAGTGGTACAATGGGTGAAAAGGTTGAAAAGCCCTGGGTTAGTGGACACAGTTTCTGAGTTCATGACGTTACCTTATATGGAAACAGTTGATGGTTAAACCATTTACAGTTCTTTGGAAATATTATATTTATAACAAGGTGTCAATTCTGAATAATATTCACCCAACAAGCAAACTGAGGTATGCGTTATCTCCTTTACCAGGCAAAAGAAATGCTCATTAATTATTAACAAATGCAGGATAATATCAGCATATGAAAGTGAAATATGGTTGAATTCTATCTACATATTTTTATAAGGATAGTGTAATTGTATCTGTTAACAGGCAACTTAAGAATGCTACATTTTCTGAATGACAAAATGTAAATGATATGGTCGTTGGAGGGCTTACATGTTTATTGTTAATAGATTGTTTAATAGATTAGAACTCTGGAAGGGAAACTACAGTTTAGCTAGGTTGGTTTCACATAATTTACTTCAGTTAAATCACAAATAGTCTTATGTGTGTTGATCAACAATTGCAGATAAGTGCTCTCTTTTTAAAAACTTATACTGATGAAAAGATGCACTAATTTTTCATTGGAGTACTTCATTACGACACTAGGTCTCAAAGCTTTA